TATAAGAAAGGTAGCTAAGCAAGTCAGTCAGTATCTTTCTCCTGTCCTCTCTGCTTCAGTTCCTGCCTTCAGGTTTCTGCTTTGACCTCCTGCCCTGGCTCTCCTCAGTGATGGAGTGTGACCTGTTAAGATGCAACTGAAAAATCAAAAATAGATAAATAAATAAATGGGGGGGGCTGGAAAGATAGAATGCTGCTCTTCCAGAAGACCCAGGTTAAATTCCCAGCACCCACATGGCAGCTCATAACTGTTTGTAACTCTAGCTCTAGGGGATTTGACACCCTCACACAGACATACATACAGGTAAACTATCAATGCAAATAAAATAAAATGAAATAAATAAATAAAATACTTAAAAAAAATAAGGGTCTGGAGAGATGGCTCAGGGGTTAACAGCATGTGCTACTCTTGCAGAGGACAAAGTTCAATTCCCAGGGTACACAAGAGGCAGCTCACAATTGACTGTAAGTCCAGTTGGAGGGGATTCAGTTCAAGGGCATATGCACACACAGACATACATAATTAAAAAGTAAATCAAAGATGATATCAGGAAAAGGTAAAAGCAGGCAAAGGAAACAGGGTGTTCAGTCAGGAAACAGGAGAGTCCAGGAGAAGGGCTGTCAGCAGACACTGGCACCAAAGCAGTAAGACTCCAGGAATAGCTAGCTAGCATTCAGCTAGAGACAAGTTGTCACTGGTTTCAGATGCTCTACCAAGCATGTCTAACCTGCTGCCCATAGTGCCGAGGATAGTTGGGAGTTCGACCCAACGAAGAATGGTACACTTACTTAAAATACTTTACTTTAGAAATTTTTTTCGATGTCCCCTCTTGCCCCTCACCACAATGGCACTGCTCAGTTCTCAAGTGACACTTTCCAGATGACAATGCCAAGTTACAATGCCGAAAGGTTGGCCATACCTACAAGCCCTCTAGAAACCACAGCAAAGACAAACTGGCTAAACAACAGAGTGGGGCCTGCCAGAGTAGAGAGTAGAGTGCAGCCACCCTTCTAAAGAATGGGTTCTTAAGATGATCTTCATACAGGTACACTCATTTGCCCCTCCCATGTACCTAGTTTAACTTTGAACAAGGGTAAAAAACACTTAGTCCACAATCAAGGGGGAGAATGACAAAAATGCAGTCTAGCTAAAAAGCTTAACTGAATTTCAGTTACTCACTCAGCCAAGAGGGGCCCAGTGAGGCTTCTCTGGGAGAGGGCCGAGAAGCCATGTTTGATTGAGACCTTGTGTCAGACCAGTAAACAATGGAGTCATGCCAGTTTGTATTATTGCAAGTATGCAAGCCAGAAATAAATTCTCTTCTGTATCCACAGAGAGGGAACTTGAAACAGAGGACAGCAGGCTGGGTGGGAATGGGGTTCCCCTTTAATCCCAGCACTCTCAAGGCAATAGCAGGCGGATTCAAGGCCTGCCTGGTCCACAGGAGAGTTCCAGGACAGCTGGGGCTATACAGAGAAACCATCTTGAAAAACAAAACAAAACAACCCAAAAACATAAGACAGCATTATGATTAAGCAATATGGGGAGATAAACGGGCCTAAAATTGGAAAGAAGGGGTGGGCAGCTCTGTGGAAGAACAAATGCTTTACACCCAAGGCCTAAAGTTCAGCTACAACACATCCACCAACACAACAGTGAGGAAGCAACAGTAAGACTGTAGATCTCCACATTAGTAAGAATCATACTTACATTCTCACAAAAAAGACAAAGGAGATGCAATGACAAATAGCTAAGATCACGAATGTCTCTGGGTGTGGTAATGCATGTCTATCCCATACTCTGCAAGTTGAGGCAAGAATTCATAACGATAGATTCTGAAGGCAGGCTCCCTGGACTTCAATTCCAGCTTTGGCAATTACAAGCCTCGAGGCACTGAATAATTAACTTCTTTGTGCCTTAATTTCCTCATTCCTAAAAGTGTTAACTACACTTAGCACTTTAGGTTACCTTAAGACTAAAATGCAGCTGGCTGTATAACTTAGCTGGCAGAGTGCTTGTCTTGCATTTACAAAGCCCTGAGTTCAGTCCTTAGCATGAATAAGCCAGTAGAGCCATGTGTGTCTCTCCCCCAGCTCTGGGAAGTAGAAGCAAGAGGATCAGAAGTTCAAGGTTATTCTCAGCTACATAGCCTAGGGCACATAAGACCATATACACTAGTACTTGGTACAGAATAAGTACCACTTAGATAGCAACACAATTATTTATTTATCATTATTCTTACCTGAGCTCTCTGGCCTGCATCTATCTATTAAAGCTCAGGTCTGTTGATGTGCACAAGTACCTGGTTTTGAGACATTTCACTAATGAAAGTACTTCTGTACACAAAGACATAAACACAGTATATTTCAGTATAGAAAATTCACTATGTGGGGCATAAGTAGATTTTGAGTTTTAGGTTCTGCCATAATTAGATATAGAATTCCTCCCTACTCCTGAAAGGCAGTGTCAAAAGTCTGGTCCTTGGTTGGCACTGTTAGGAATGGGTGAAAATCCTGCCACCATACTTACTGGCACAGGCCCCAAAGAAACGAGTTTTCTGCCATGGGTTAAACTACCGGAAGGTGAGCCAGACAGCCCTCTTCTGTTTGTGAGCTGATTATCTCAAGTGTTTGTTGTAGAAATGGAAAGTAACAGACTCATTTTTCTCCTCTTGACATTTTTCTGGTGATTCAACCATTCTTTCTTTATGACTTAATGGGTGAGAGGAGGTGTCATAAGAAAGACAAAGCATAAACAAGCATATCCTGACAGTGGCGGGCAGTTCAAATGATTTGATTGGAGGGGAACACAGCAACACTGGCTTAGTCAAAACTTCCAGATGTTCTCCCATGCCTTACACAAGGAAACAAAACAGAAAAATATCTGATCATCTGAGGCTGGTGAGTACTTGATTTGAACTCTAAGACTTACACAGTGGAAAGAGAAGAACTACTCTTGCAAGTGTGTGTACCCCAACACACATGTAATTAAAAGCATTTTTAAAGAAATAAAAATAGGCGCTGAGGAGATGGCTCAGTGGTTAAGAGCACTAGCTGCTCTTCTAGTATTCAGGTTTAATTCCCAGTACCCACATGGCAGCTCACAGGTATCTGTAACTCCAGTTGCAGGGGATATGGTATCCTCACACAAACATACATGCAGGCAAAATACCAATACACATGAAAATAAATCTGGATTGTTCTTTTTTGGGGGAAGGGGTTGGTTTTTTGGGACAGGGTTTCTCTGTCCCTGGCAGTACTGGAAGTCACTCTGTAAAAGCAGGCTGGTCTCAAACTCACAGAGATCTGCCTGTCCCTGCATCCCAAATGCCAGAATTAAAAGGCATGTGGAACCTTCTGGTAATACTTTTTTGCCAGGCCAGGCATTGACACCAAATGGCCTGGCCTGGCAAAAAAAAAAAAAAAACGGAAGGAAGAGAGTGAGGGGGCGGGGAGAAAAGTGGAGGAAGATATTCAATAATCTTGAAAAAATTCAATAATCTTAGAATTCAAAACTTAGAGGAGAATTTGCTACACTGAAGTAAGCGTGGTAAAGTAGGCACATGCTCGATCACTCATATCAAAACTGGGCTTTGCCAAAAATAAATGAGTAAACAAAACATATGAGCTTCGGTTTTGCAAAAAAAGAGCTATTTAGAAATACAACCACAGGCTGGGCGATGGTGGCACATGCCTTTAATCCCAGCACTCAGGAGGCAGAGGCAGGCAGATAGCTGTGAGTTCGAAATCAGCCTGGTCTACCAAGCAAGTTCCAGAACAGGTTGCAAAACAATACAGAGAAACCCTGTCTCATAAAACCAAAAAGAAAAAAAGAAAAAAAAGAAAGAAAGAAAAAGAAATACAACCACAGAACACACTGCTCAGTTAACAAGAAAGAAATGTTTCTCATTTAGAAAAGCAGGTAAAGGAAAACTGACTGGTGGTAAAAGAGGCTTGCTTTCAGTTGTATTTTACAGAGTTGTATACATGGTGTGTTCACAGCAGCAAGCTGATGGGGGATGTCCTTCTGTATGCTGTGAATATATGTTTCTCTTATTGGTTGATGCATAAATGCTGATTGGCCAGTAGCCAGGCAGGAAGTATAGGTGGGGCTACCAGACTAGGAGAATTCTGGAAAGAGGAAAGGCAGGGAAACAGTGACCAGAGAGAGACACCATGAAGCCACCAGAAGCCTGAACATTCTCTGGTAAGCCAAGACCATGTGGCAATACATAGATTAATAGAAATGAGTTAATAATTAAGAGACAGCTAGCCAATAAGAAGCCTGAGCCACAGGCCAAACAGTTTATAATTAATATAAGATTCTGTGTGTTTATTTGGGACTAATCAGCTACAGGACCAGGCAGGACAAAATCCTTTATTTATGGTGAACTGCTTTTCAGAAACTTACTCTCACTGACAAATGGAAAATTAATTCTTGGCCTCTGGTTGGTTTTGTTGTACAGACAGGATCTTATGCAGCCTATACTGGATTTGCTTTGCAGCTAAACGCATCCTTAAATTTCTCCATCTCCTGAGTTTTTGGTGTCGCAGGTCTGCATTACCATGCCCCATACCTCTGATTTTTAAAAACACTTTTATGAGGTATTTTATTTATCCCCACTTACCAATAGCAAAAAGACAAACATATCAAGTACCAAGAATTTTATATACATTATCCATTACTCTTCACAATAATCCCATGGATACAGATGAGAATACTGAAACAGAGGAAAAATTTAAAGTCTTGCCAAAAACTTGATGTGATGGTGTGCTCCTTTAATCCCAGCACTTGGGAGGCAGAGGCAAACAGTTTGGTCTTCTGGCCAAGCTGGGGATACATAGTGAGACCCTGTTTTAACAAACAAAAAACTTGCCAAACTGCTGACAATACCTATGAGTGATGGACTAAAGCTGAGATATATCAAATTCAAACTCATGCACACCCTACACACTCCATTACACGGTTAGAGGCACGACAGCATTTCTCAGTCTACTTACCTGAATGTTAATGTCTGCCCACAGAAGTAGGTTGGAGCACTGGAGTAGAGAACACCTGAGGACTCGGCATCATTCCGGAGTGCTATATTTCTTCGACTGCTCAGACTGTATCCCTCAAAGCCAGGTGTCCACTCTTTAAAAAGAAAGCCATTATAAATTATTGCAATTTTTTTCAAGAGTTTATTGAATACAGACACCTTAAACAGAATTGAATGAAAGTAATTACTTAAAGCAGTCCTAGCTAAGTTTAATAAAAGATTTAGTAACAGAGTATTGGGGTTAGAGTCACAAATTACACAAAAGGAGTTTGGTAAATTCCTATACAAATCGAAAAACACCAAACAATGGTCATCTTCTATCTAAAAAATATAATGTTCAAATTTAATAGTTTGATGATATTACAACCTGAATAAATAATAGAGCGTGTATTTATTAGCATGTATAAGGATCTGAGTTCAATCAACAGCGTCATATTAAAAATGAATAAACAAGCCTGTCGGTGGTGGCGCACAACTTTAATCACACACTCAGGAAGGCAGAGGAAGGAAGATCTCTGTGAGTTTGAAACCAGCCTGTCTACAAAGAGAGTTCCAGCACAGCCAGGGCTGTTGCACAGAGAGGTGTGTGTGTGTGTGTGTGTGTGTGTGTGTGTGTGTGTGTGTGTGTGTGTGTGTGTGTGTGGTGTATGTGGTATGTTCTAGGCACTATTTTCAATCTGTGATTTTGAGTGATGCTCAATTTTGAATCCAAAGACAAGAGCTGATGAAAACAATTTACATGGAATGATCCGAGTAAAAGGCAGGTTCCACGTTCTTCTCTCAATTCAAGATCATCCTTAGGAAAGTGGTTACCTGTGTATCACTCTCAGAACAAGGGGTAAACTTTCCTACACCCTATCGAGTTTCAGTGTGACAAGATAAGAGCATACCATGAGGCACCAGTGTGGAATGACCTGTCTGGGGTACACTCCAAGGACTCCACTCCTGCCGGCCGTCTCCCCGGGCGCAGACTCTGAATTGATAATCAATATTGGGGTCTATATGCAACACTATGAATTCAGTGTCAGACCCTACGTACACATCTTCAAAATGATTGGCAGTACATTTACGGAACTGGAGCCTGTAATCTTGGGCTGTAAAGTCATCATCCACCTATGGAGAAAGATTTTTTTTTAAGCCAGGTAAAAACCAGAACAAATGGGGACATATAGACAAAAAAACAGATTCATTTGCTGAATAGGGACAATATGGAACACTATGGGGAAGGCACAGGCAACATGTTTATCACTATCTCCTTTTCCTTTTTCTTTTTGTTCTTCCCAAGATAGGGTTTCACTATATGTAGCCAAGGCAAGCCCTGAATTCATGGTAATCCTCCTGCTTTGGCTTCCTGAGAGCTAGGAATATAGATACACATTACCATACCCAGTTGCTTCTCTTTCTCTTTTTCTTCTGTTTCTTTTTGTTTTTAAGCACAGGTCTTGCTCTACTGTACAGACTGGCCTTGGGTTCACCATCCTCCTGCCTTGTCATCCCAAATGCTATGATGTTACCATGCCTGACTCCTTCCTTCCACTTGTGTGTTTGTATGTACATGTACACGCATACATGTATACTACAAAGTACTTGTGAAGGTCAGAGGACAACTTGTGGGAGTCAGCTCTTTCCTACCATGTGGGCTCTAGGAACTGAACTCAGCTTGTCAGGCTTCAGAACAAATGCCTTTATCTGCATAGCCATCTTACCAGCTTACCTTTCTTTTTCTTTTTTAAACTGAAAAGTGTCTTTAATATTACCCATTCTAAAGCTAGGGATGGTAACACTGCCTCTAATCATAGTAGGCAGAAAAGCAGACAAGAGGCACAGTAAAGTCCAGCCTTAACTACATAGCAAGTTCAAGGCTAGCCTGGACTACACGAGATTCTGCCTCAAAAACGGCTCAGCAGGAGGGTGCCTGACAGAAATCCTAGTGAAGATCTGAGTTCAATCCCCAAGACCCACATGGTAGAATGAGAGACAGCTCCTACAGGAAGTCCTTCGACCTCCAGACATTTGAAGTGGCATGCATGCCTCCCCCCAAATAAAATGTAATTCGAAAAGGAAAGGATGAAGGAAAGAAGAGCTGAACAGAGAGGCACACGGCTACAATCCCAGCACTGAGAAAGATAAGGCAAGCAGAAAACCAATTTGGGATCAGACTAGGCTACATGCCAAACTGTTCATTTAGTTTATTATTTATTCTGTGTGTGAAAAGTGCTATGGATCAAACCCAGTACCTTGCATAGGCAAACACTACCACTGTGTCACAGTCTCAGCTCTATAGCAAGTTCTAGGCCAACCTAGGCTATATGACAACCTCAAGCTAAAAATAATTTTTAAAAGGAAAAAAATGCAAAAGATATGAAATAAATATGAATAGCCAAATATAGAAATACAACGCAAAACTATAATGAGATAGCATTTGTGCAAAAACGTAAGTCTGATAATCCTAAATACCAGTAAAGATGAAAAATAGTAGGTTTTATATAAGGTGTGGTAGCACGCACCTGTAATCCCAGCATTTGGTGGGTGGGACAGGAGGATTGTGATGAGTTTGAGGTTAGTCTGATCTACATAGCAAGGTTCTGCTCTCCCTACAAAACCAAGGGAAAACATCTGGCCTTACCGAATACAGTTCCAATACACTAAGATCTCATAATTTACAGTAAGGTATACTTTAGAAAAAAATTACATGTGTGCACAAGGAAACACAAATAAGAACAATTATAGTGAGTAACAACAAAAGAAACAGGCGGGGGCTGGAGATATGGCTCAGAGGTTAAGAGCACTGACTGTTCTTCCAGAGGCCCTGAGTTCAATTCCCAGCAACCACATGGTGGCTCATAGCCATCTATAATGAAATCTGGTGTTCTCTTCTGGCATGCAGACAGACATGGAGGCAGGATGTTGTATTCATAATAAATAAATCTTAAAAAAAAAAAAAGAAACAGGAAAGCAAACAAAAACCCTGGAAATAACCAGAGTGCTTGCAGGGTTTCCATTGTGGAGTTTTTGGTGATGATGGTAGTGGAGAATGTGGGTACTGAGGATCCTTGCTTTAATCTAGCAAAAGCATCTCTACTTCTTTCTTCTATACAAAAGCTTCAATTAAAAAAATTATGCTGGGCAGTGGTGGCGCACACCTTTAATCCCAGCACTTGGGAGGCAACGACAGGCGGATCTCTGAGTTTGAAGCCAGATGGTCTATACAGCTAGTGCCAGGACAGGCTCCAAAGCAATATAGAGAAACCCTGTCCCAAAAAACAAAAACAAAAACAAACAAACAAAAAACCCACAAAAAAACAAAAACCAAACAAACAAAAAATCATTTAAGGAAATAGCTTGTAGAAGTCATTTTGTATACTCTGGTACAGATAAGTATGTATATGTGTTCCTGTACACATCCCACAGCATGCACGTGGAGGGCAGGAGACAACTTTTGGGAATCAGTTCTCTCTTTTCTTTTTTTATCCAAAACAGGGTTTCTCTGTGTAGCCATGGATGTCCAGTAACTCTTTCTGTAGACCAGACTGGCCTCAAACTCATAGAGATCCTCCTGTCTCTGCTTACCCAAGACAGCTAGGGCTATTACACAGAGAAACCCTGTCTCAAAATAAAACAAAACAAAACAAACAACAACAACAAAAACAGAATTCCGGACAATACTGAGTGTAAGTGAACTATAGAAATATTTATTTAACCACTTTTTGTTTTGTTTTGAAAGTCTCACTATGGAGTCCTGGCTGACTGAGTTCTCTATATAGGCCAGACTGGCCTCAAACTCACAGAGATCCACCTCCATCTACTACTTAAATGCTGGGGTTAAAGGTGTGTACCTCTACAACAAGCCTATACTTTAGAGTCATTTAATGTTTTAAAAAAGTGTTTGGGGGGGTTCTTTGAGCAGTGGGAGTGCATGCCTTTAATCCCAGCACTCCAGAGGCAGGTGGATCTCTGTGAATTCAAGGACAGCCTGGCATATACAAGGGAGACCCTGTTTCAAAAAACAAAACAAAACCTGGCAGTGATTTTAATCTCAGCACTTGGGAGGCAGAGGCAAGCGGATCTCTGTGAGTTTAAGGCCAGCCTGGTTTACAGAGCAAGTTCCAGGATAGCCAAGGCTGTTACACAGAGAAACCGTATCAAGAAAAACCAATAAATAAGCAAATAAATAAATAAATAAATCTCAAAAGCCCCCAATCACAAACCCATAATGTTGAGTCCATTTCTGCAATTTGGTACATACCTTACACCATCGTACTATGATGCCTCCAGGTTTCTCTATTAATTCTTCAATCTGTACTGGTGGGCGGGAAGCTACTGTTCCGTGCTTAAAAATGTGGTCTTTCACTATGTTAAGAATAGAATCATCCAACTGAGCCGACAAACAGGGTACATCAACTAATAAAGGCACTTCTGGTAAGCTAAGGAAACAAAGTCATGTTTTTAAGACATGCTTAACTTGGAGATGGAAATGCAAGGACTACTGTAGATTGGTCACATGCTAGAAGAATCCTAAAAGCCTCAGCAAATAATTCTGAAGAAGCTGGAGGTGTTTCTGTGAGGGGCTTTCATCTTTATAGTAAAGATTCTCGTCTGAGATAATTGGGCAAGACAAAAACCTGTAAGCTGTATAATAGCACATGCCTAATCCCAGCACTCAGGAAACTTAGACAGGAGAATCATAAGCCAGAAGTCAGCCTGAGATGCCTTAAAAAAAAAACAACAGCTGGGTGTTGATGGCGCACATCTCTAATCCCAGCACTCAGGAGGCAGAGGCAGGCGGACCTCTGTGAGTTTGAAGCCAGCCTGGTCTACAGAACGAGTTCCAGGAAGGGTCCAAAGCTACACAGAGAAACCCTGCCTCGATAAAACAAAAACAAAATAAAATTGATAAAATCACAATTGATATAAGGTAAGTTTATATCAAAAGATCTTGTTTAGTAAAATAAGATTTGGTTTCAGCAAGGCATTCAGAATGCTTTTTTCTTGTACAGAGACCACGACAATCCTCTATGTATTGCTCCAATTATGTCATTATGAGTGCTGCTTTGAAAGCACACACCAGAATTTTTAAAATTTAACAATTCTATTAACTACTGGAATTGAAAAAGATCTATAATAATACTATATCAAAGTTTTCAACCATAGCCATTTGACACTAGTAGTAATGATAATGGACAGCAAAATCTTGAAAAACAGATTCTCTAATTCCTGTAATCAGAATTTTTAATGGAGACCAGGGAGGGTGAAGATTGGAAGAGAGGCAAAATCATTTAAGTTTTTAAAAATAAGTCCAAAAGGGACAAACTCTTTTACCTGTCCAATTGAATATGTGAGGCCTTTTTGGTAAAGTTCCACAATTTGTCATTCTGTTCTTCTATACCACCAAGAATGGCAATCTCACCTACAATTGAGGGTAAGAAAACTAGCTCAGTAAAAACAGTCACATTTTAAAGTCATTATTATACAGTAACCAATATAACTCATGTTTACTGTAAATTTCTAGCTTTGTTGCAAGTTAATTTCCACGTGACACACAATCAACCCTCAAAATGACTTGGCAAGCCAGAGAGAACAAAGGCCAAAGATAACTGCAAATCTAGCTCAACAACCAATTTTACACAGCGCAGAAAGGCAGGGACATTGCCTCATTCTTCTCTATTGATTCTTTACTTTTTTTTTTATCCTGTTTTGGTTTTTTACATTAATTTACTGAGGGAGATATGTGCATATATGGAAGTTAGATGACAGCTTGTGGGAGCTGGTTTTTTGTTTTTTGTTTTTCTCTCTGTCATGTGAGTTTCAGGGACTTACCTCAGGCTGTCAGGCTTGGTACCAAGCTCCTTGATCCACTTAGCCACCTGATCTGCCCTTTTTTTCTGACTTTCTTGAGATAAGGTCTTACTAATAGCCTTGGCTGACATGATACTTGCTATGTAGACTAGGCTGGCCTCAAACTCACAAGCTATTTCTGCCTCCAACTCTTGAGTGCTGGGATTCCAGGAGTAAACCAGCATACTCCTGGCTCCTCTTCATCAGTTCTAACAGGAACAAAGTTATTATCCTAACAGCAGCAAAAGGACACAGGATCTTAAACAGCCAAATGATGCCAGCTGAGGGGGTATATGCCTATAGCATTAGTAAGACTGAGGTTTGAGACAAGCCTGTGCTATATAATGAGACCTTATCTCAAAAGTCAAATGATGCAGTAAGATTTCCACTATACACTGAATCAGAAATTACTCAACAGACTGGATGGTGGAGGCACAGGACTTTAATCCTAGCCCGTGGGAGGCTGAGGCAGCCTGGTCTACAGAGTGAGTTCCAGGACAACACAGAGAAATCCTGTCTTAATAAAAACAAAAAATAAAACAACAACAAAAGAAATCATTCAACAGAACAGTAAGAAGAAAATGCCTTATACAGGGTATGAAAATGATCAATCTCTATATTCTCTGAAATAATGAAAGATAGTATTACATCATCCAAATGCACACTGAAGTTACGTAGGAGTTTTGCTAACTATGATTATATTCATTCATTCACTCAGTGTGTGTGCGTGTACGTGTGGGCATGCATACACCATGGTACACATGTGAAAGTCAGAAGACAACTTGCAGGAGTTGGTCCTGTCCCTCCACCAAGATCAAACTCAGGTCATCAGGCTTTGCAACAAGCTCCTTTACCCAATGAGCTATCCTGTCAGCCCTAACTCAAGTTTTCTGAGAGGATATGACTTTCTTTACTAAAAGAAAACACAGACATATTGAACACTGCCACAAAAGTCTCTAGCACTTGGGAGGTAGAAGCAGAGTGATCAGAAGTTCAAGGTCAGGCTGGAGAGATGGTTCAGAGGTTAAGAGCACTGACTGCTCTTCCAGGGGTCCTGAGTTCAATTCCAATGGCTCACAACCATCTGTAATGAGATTTGGTGTCCTTTTCTGGCCTGCAGACATGCATACAGACAGAACATTGTATGCATAATAAATAAATAAATCTTAAAAAAAAAAGAAGTTCATTAGCTAATAGGAAGTTGAAAGCCAGACTGGACAATTTCACAACTATCTGTAGCTCCACTTTCAGGGGTTGGCCTCCACAGGCACCAGTCATACATGTGGTGCACATACATGCAGGCAAATAATTGTAAAAATAAAATGAATCAACTTAATAAATTAAACACACACACACAGAGAAAGAAAGAAGCTTTTATCTTCTCTGTATGGGGAGGGGGAAGAATTTGAAATTAAAAATGTTTTTGAAGTATAAAAATTTCAGCATTAAGTGCTATGACAAACAAGTATGTGCCTCAAAGGATTTATTTTCAAAAATGAAAGCACAGCCTTCAATGTTATGGGTGTGCACACTCCAGCCCTGTGCTGACCTGCTTCTGGGTATATTTCCAAATTCAAAGCCTCAAGGGGAAGACATTCTGTGGTTTTGCTAAAAAGAATTTTCTCAAAGGCACTATTATGTCAGTAAAAACTAAACATGTCTCATTGAGGATTACAATTAGCTACACAGCAATTGTGAGGCCTGGGCCAATCCCATTACATAACTCTCCAGTGAAACAGGTCTTTGATATTCACTCCACTCCTGATGTTACTTCTGCTTAGAATCACAGCTGCCTCTTTCTCCTTTGCTTGATGAATTTCTTCAAGCCTCTGCGTAACTCCCACAGGAGGCTGCCCTCTACTTCCCAGACAGACTTCTTTGTTCTTCAGTAAGATTTTAGATCTTACGCAGCATGACTTCCACTGAGTTACAAACCCCAAAGAACAGAACTGTTACCTTTTTAATTTAACATATCTAATAAAAGGCCTGCACTGGAAGAAAGAAGGTCAAAGTCAACAAAGGAAGATAAAGATGAACAATCTAAGACTTATGGGTGACTTAACAACAGCAAAACCTGCCTAAAAACTGGAATATCAGAACTAAAAATAAGGTCAACCTGGTCTACAGAGTGAGTTCCAGGACAACCTCCAAAGCAACACAGAAAAACCCTGTCTCGAAAAAACCGGAAAAAAAAAAAAAAAAAAGAACTAAAAATAGCTGGGCAGTGGTGGCACACTCCTTTAATCCCAGTACTTGGGAGGCAGGTGGATCTCTGTGAATTGGAGGCCAGTCTGATCTACAGAGTGAGTTCCAGGACAGCCAGGGCTACACAATGAAACCCTGTCTCACCACCCCCACCAAAAAAAAAAAAAGAACTAAAAATGAAGTTAGGTATGATGGTTCAGACCAGTAAATCCCGTACCCATGCTGCTTCATCAGGACTACTGAGAATTAATTCATGGCAGTCTGGACAATAACAGGAGACTCTGCCTCAAAAACATAAAACAAAATAGTGGATAAACAAAAGTTTATAAAAAGTTGTAAAAAGCTGGGCGTTGATGGCGCACGCCTTTAATCCCAGCACTTGGGAGGCAGAGGCAGGCAGATCTCTGTGAGTTCGAGGCCAGCCAGGTCTACAAGAGCTAGTTCCAGGACAGCCTCCAAAGCCACAGAGAAACCCTGTCTTGAAAAACAAAAATAAATAAATAAATAAAAAGTTGTAAAAATAAAATTGAAACTACATGCTGAGTATGTGATTTAAAATGTAATGCATGAGCGAGTAAGATGGCCCAGTGGGTAAAGAAAAGTACAGCTAAAGAAAGGTACTTGCCACCAAGCCTGTGGACATTAGCTCTATCCCTAGAATACATATGGTAGAAGCTGAGAACTAACTTTGTTGGTTGTCCTTTGACCTCTATGTATGTGTTGTGGCATATAAAATTACCCCAGAAGGTAATTTTTAAAATGTAATGCATAACCCCTTCAAAAAATTGTGAATACTATAAGCATAGAACCTTTTGAAATAATCATTTTTTGTTTCATAAATGATCCCAATCAATACTTAGACTAGTATCTCTCACAGCATATCTGTATTATATAAACTGTCTCAAGGCAGAAACATTCCAGGCACCCTTCAGATGGCAAGAAGCCTGCTAGTATCCTATGAAATCAGGCAGGTGTCAATTGGAATGTAAGGATTAATAGGTTCCCTGGAGTCCCACCTTCTCGGACAAGGTCATCCGCGGTGTTAACTCCATGCTCTATGAGCTTCTGGCAGTCATCTAACGGTTTGATGGTCTCCTGTTCAATGGTGTCCACCTCTTGCAAAAGAGTCGCCAATCGCTCATCCAAAAGTTTTCCAAGGGTTCCTTTTAAATCACTAAAATGTTGTTTCAGGACATCTCTTGTCTGTGAAGCACTCTCCTTTATCTAAAAAGAACATAAAAACCTGAAATTTAGAATCTTTAGGAAAAGTCAGAGTATACGCACCATTCATAATTACTTAAATGTAGCAAACAACAACCATCTTCCACTCATTACAAAAAAAGATGGTATGCTGTGCTGGGATTGAACCTAGGTAAGCATTCTACTGCTGAATTACTATGTATCCACAGTACTCCCACCCCTTTCTTTTGTTAATTAAGACAGGGTCCTACTAGTTATAATCTTCCTGCCTTGAAAGTGCTAGGATTACAGGATGCATCATCAGCCCAAATAGACTTATTTTTAAAAAGGGACGACAGATAAGACAGGGTCTTCAGGCCTGGAGTTTGTTTTGATCCCGTGATCCTCTGGACTCAGCTTAGTAGAAAATTTTAATGTAGCCAAGCATGACAGAACATGTCTGTAATACCAGCACTCAGGAGGTTGAGGCTAAAGCCTCATAAATTCGAAGCCTGTTCAAATTATATAGCAAGACCCTGTCTTACAAAGAAATTTTTTGTTAATTGAGGTATATACACTTAAGGTACACAGTGTGTTTTGACACACATATACACAACTGATAGTTCTGTCAAGCTAATCAGTGTATGCATCTCTTGACTTATTTATCCTTTGGTATTTTGGGAACAAAAAACTATGTAGTTCTGGCTGTCCTGGAACTCACTCTGTAGACCAGACAGGTCTCAAACTCAAATCTGTCTGTTTTTGCCCAAGAGCTGGGATTAAAAGTATGAGCCACCATGCCCAATGATTATTTTTTTTATATGTGGTAAGAACACTGAAGATCTCTCTTAGCAATTTGCAAAATACAATACAGTATAGACCACAGTCCCTATCCTGTAATTAGGGCTCCAGAATACATTCATCACACATAACTAAAACATGGTGCCTTGGGACCACCTTCTCACTATTCCTCCCACCATACTCCTGCTATCCACTATTCTACTCCACATTTCTATGAAATAGACCTTTTCCAGATTCCACATAAGTAAGATCATGGAATACTTTCCGTGTTCACTTGTTTCCCTTGGCCTCTTGGTAAGCATGTGACAGCATACTCAGCTTGGTTGTTGCTGTTGTTGTCATTTGTATTTTTATGAATTTGCTTTATTTTACTTTTGCGTCTGTGTGTTCATGTGTGTACATGTGCATGTGGGCATGCACATATTCTTCCTAGATCACTGCCCATCTTATTTTGAGGAACACGGTCTCTCACTGACCACAGAGCTTAATGATGGGCTAGACTGGCTAGATAATAATTGAAACAAGTAGTAATTATGAAATTTTCTTTGCCAAGGTATTCCGTGTGTTCCCTGTTAATTCAGATTGCCCGAGTTCCATCCGAGACAGACTGAGTTTAAAGGAGGAGCAAGAGGGCCATGTGCTAACAACTCTCTACTGTCATAGTCACATAGGTGGTACTGCCCACATTTTGAGATACACTGTCTCAGTTCACAGAACTGAAATTAAGCGACTTTGTTGCAGGAGTTATGACAAAAAGGTCTTTGCATCTCACATATACTCTCACGTTTAAATACTAACTATATAGCCAGGCGTTGGTGGTGCACGCCTTTAATCCCAGCACTCGGGAGGCAGAGGCAGGCAGATCTCTGAGTTAGAGGCCAGCCTGGTCTACAGAGTGAGTTCCAGGACAACCTTTAAAAGCAATACAGAGAAACCCTGTCTCAAAAAGCCAAAATAATAAAAAATAAAAAATACTACCTGTAAGTTAGACAGTTAAGTTAAAGCAAACACATGAACTGGGATATAACCTGGTGACAGGGCACTTGCCCTGCAGTGCAAGGTTCTGGATTCAATCTCCAGCAATAAAAACAAAAACAAGTTCCCAAAACCCACACTTTACAAACAGTAGTCGTTTCATATGACTATTAAAAATTACTTTAATCCTCTTGCCAGTTTTCTCTTGACAAATGTTAGTGTACACACACATGGTGCACAACCTTTATCTCAGTACTGAGGAGGCAGAGTCAGTCAGATCTCTGTGAGTTCCAGGACAGCCAGAGCTACACAGAGAAACACTGTCTTGAAAAGCCAAAAAAGAAAAGAAAAAGAGAAAAAAAGTGAAAAAAACAGAAAGAATGCCTTATGTTTTGTTTTTGTGTTTGTTTTTTTCATTTTGGTTTGTTGAAACAGGGCTTCTCTGTGTAGCCCTGGATCTCCTGGAACTCACTCTATAGACCAGGCTGGCCTCAAACTCACAGAGATAAGTCGACTCTGTCTCCCAACTGCTGGGATCAAAAGCGTGCATTACCACAACTGGCTGCCTTACTATTTTTTTTAGTAATGTATAGTCGCAGGCTCTGGACTTGTTGCATTTTAACTTTTTTGTTGTTGTTTTGAGACAAGATCTCACAGCTCAAAACTCTTATATAGTTCAATGACCTTGAACTTCTGATCCTCCTTCCTCCACCTCTCCAACACCAATATTATAGGTAGGTGCCCTCAATGCCCAGCTTCACTCCCAACTAAGCTAAATCCCAGTCCCAGAATCTGCATTTTTGAAGACCACAGTTGACTTATAAATGCAATACAGAATAAAGTCATCAAGTAGGGTCACTGTGTTACATTTCAGACCTCTCTCTAATAGGAAACTCTCCACCTGGACTAGCAAAGCCCTGCCTGAGTATGCAGGAAGTGTACTGGTTAGGTAAAGTCAATTTCCTCTTTAGAAAGAATTCAAAAGCTCCCTCAGACATTGCAAGCCCATGTTTGTCTTTGTTTCAGAACCTTAGGTGAAAAAGGGAAGTATGTCTCTATCAGCAGTGAAGACTGTGGAAGGGAAAATCCATTTTTAAATCTATCTCCCGTGTATTCATCATAAATTTGCTATCTTTTGTACACAGAACACCAACCACTGCCATTTCAAACCTGCTTTTACCTTAGATCATTTTCTTCTTCAAAAAATAGTTCACAATTTAAAGCTCAGTCAGCATTAGCCAAACCATGTAAGTAACCAAGTACATTTACTTGGCTTTATGAAAAGTTTTAAAATAGAGATTTTGCTGATAAGAGAATCTCCTTGTGTTTGAGGTAGTTCCAGTGGTCCAGTATGTTCATTCTTATCTCACTGAAGTATCCATCACTCTACCAACTGAATTACATTGTGCCTCAATATAATATATCAGTCTCAGATGCTACCTAGGCATTAGGACGGTGTTTCTCAACCATCTTAAATAGTCAAGACTCCTGGGGTCGAATGATTCTTTCTGAGGTGTCGCCTAAGACCATCAGAAAACACAAATATTTAGATTACAGTTATGAAGTAGCAACAAAAATAATTGTATGGTCAGGAGTCACCACAATTTGAGGAACTGTATTAAAGGGCCACAGCATTAGGAAGGTTGAGAATCACTGACCTAGGACAACAATATCTCTGCAACAACAAAGAATATAAATTACCAGGCACCATGCCTTTAATCTCAGCACGAAAGGGGCAGAGTCAGGAGAATCTCTGTGAACTCAAGGCCAGGCCAGGTTGGTTTACAAAGCAAGTTCTAGTCCAGTCAAGAAAGAGAAAACAAAAACAAAAGCCACAAAAAACTATATAATGAGCCAGGCATTGGTGGCACACGCCTTTAATCCCAGCACTCAGGAGGCAGAGGCAGGCAGATCTCTGTGAGTTCGAGGCCAGCCTGGTCTACAGAGTGAGTTCCAGGACAACCTCCAAAACAATACAAAGAAACCCTGTCTCTAAAAACCAAAAAAAAAAAAAAAAAAAAAAAAAAAGAGTACTGGCTGTTCTTCCCAAAGACCCTGGTTCAACTCCTAGCACATAGCACATAACAGCTCACAACTCTCTGTAACCAGGGGATCCGACACCCTCACACAGACATACATGCAGGCAAAACACCAATGCACATAAAATAAAAATAAATAAATAACTTAAAGAGGTCATAAAATATATGTAAAACCTTTCTTAAGGAATCCCCCCAGCCAGCCAGGCAGTGGTGGTCCATGCCTTTAACCCCAGCACTCAGGAGGCAAAGGCCGGAGACACCCTGTCTTAAACAAACAAAACAGGAGCAAGGGAGAAAGGGAGGGAGAGGGAGCTGGGATTGACATGTGAGGCAGGCTTGTTTCTAATTTAAAGAAAAAACAAAAATAAAACAGAAAAACATCCCTAGCCAGACTTGATTATGTACATTTATAATCCAGTACTTAGGAGGTAGTCATAAGAGGATAAAGAGTTCAAGGTCATCCATAACTACATATTTAATTGAAGGTCATCATCGACTACAATCAAAAGATTTAATCAAAAGATTAAAAAAAGCTGCAACATATACTTGATGGTAGCATAATCCTATTGATTCAGCAAAGTAACTGTCCTATCATCTCTAGAACACCCATTTTTACATTTTTATGACTTTACAGAAGAACTTTTATCCTCCAGGGTTTTTTGTTGTTGTTATGTTTTGTGCAACAGTCCTGGCTGCTCTGGAACTAGCTCTGTAGACCAGGCTGGCTTTGAACTCACAGAAATCCACCTGTTAATACCTCCCAAGTGCTCGATTAAAGATATGCACCACCACTGCCCGGCAAAAATTTATTTTTTCAATTACTTTGTCAAATTAAAATCGAGACTATCTTTAAAAACCACTAGCTAACTGGGGGACATGTCTGGGTCCACAGTCCTACTGCATCTGTAGTCTGTGTTGAAGTCTGTGTGGACCATGTTGACACCAAGGGCCATGTAGATGTCTGGAATCATGTCAGCCACCTGAGTCTGTGTTGGTGGCCAATGGCCATGCTGCAGCCAGAGCCATGCAGATTTTAGTGGCCTGTGCTGCTATCTGATGCCATGGTGATGTCCAGACCAGAGCTGCAGCTGAGGGCCTTGTCTGTGTCTGCGGCCCTACTGCAGCCAGGGTCTGTGTTTATGTCTGAAGTTCCTGTTACCCATCATAGGCCACTGTGGATTCCCAAGATCTGAGGCCGTTTTTGTGTCTGAAGGCCATGCTGATAGAGTT